TACGAGGTCGGCGAGGTGGACAACTGCTCCTCCTCGGGCTCCGTGAGTTCATCGCCGTTGTTTTTGTCGCTTAATGTGTTTGAGTTTTGGGGAGTCTTGTTGTCCTTAATCCCAGGAGTCAATCCCCTAAAGTAAAAATGTCACAAGTAGGCTAATTATCCACATTAAACCACCATTATAACGAGACCCTCAGTTCAAATGGGGATAAAAAATAGGCATGCCATTCCGTCCACACAGGGTGACGTCACGCTTTGCCAAACTGCATTGTGGAAGCGTCAGCCAATCAAATCATATGCCAGTACAAGCTCTAGCCAATCAAAGCGTGTGCTTGTGTGTCCTGGGCGGGAGATTGATGTGATTGGTTGTTGGTCGAGTTTCAGACAAGCTCACCGGCAAGCTTCAACGCACGCCGCCATGTGGACGCAGCGTAACGCTACCCCATTGGACACTCCATCGACCCCTAACCTAGAGACACTTGAACTCCCTTCTATGGAGTCAGATTTGGGTCAATATTCTAGCGCGCAAAACAAGCTACTCACGAGCGGAAAATGCGCTTTTACACGCGCATNCAAAGATCCATACATAGTAGATACTAGATACATAGTATTACTATTGAAATCTATAGTTTTTTCTGTAGTGCCATTTTATTAGCTATACTAGCCCTATAATATTTCAATAGTAATACTATGTATCTAGTATCTACTATGTATGGATCTTTGTAGTATTCCTATATTATTTTAAATAGTATAACTATAGTATAATATATAGTGTTTCTGTAGTTGTTTTGTAAAACACTAGAACACTCCTATAGTAATAGTATGATATTATCATAATGAATGCATATTATTACTATAGTGTTTGTAAAAGCATTACACTCCTAGAATTAATGTGTCATTTTTTTATATCAAATTAATTGATAGTTCAGGCATTTATCAAACCTGGCCACTCTGGGCTTCCTGGCAGCTGTCAATCAAAGTCCAGTGGCTCCGCCCCAAAGTGTGAAAAACATATATTGATTGGGTCATTGACCCAAATCTGACTCCATAATAAGCTGAATATGTTGTTATTTATGTAATTAATGAATTCTAGGAGTGTAATGCTTTTACAAACACTATAGTAATAATATGCATTCATTATGACAATATCTATTACTATAGGAGTGTTCTATAGTGTGTTAAAAAAAAAAACTACAGAAACACTATATTATACTATAGTTATACTATTTAAAATAATATAGGAATACTACAAAGATCTAGATACTATTACTATTGAAATATTATAGGGCTACTATAGCTAATAAAATGGCACTACATGAAACTATAGAAATACGATAGCAGGTGAAAAATACTACAGAACACCACAAACTTACTATAGGACACTATACAACTCTTACAGTATAGTAATACTATAGTTCATTTATAGTTCATTTCGTAAGAGGTGCGTGCAGCAGACAGTAGCTAGCAGTTTTCGACAGATACAGCCCACTCAAAAATATATTGTTTTATATAAAATTAATTAATATATATATATTATAGCTGTACACTTTACGAATATAACGTTTTTGTATGGACATCTTTACCATTCAATCTCGTCCAACTGATATTGCTGCTGTCACTCCTCGGCTCTTGGTAGTTCAGGCATTTATCAAACCTGGCAACTCCAGGTTTCCTGGCAGCTGTCAATCAAAGTCCAGTGGCTCCGCCCCAAAGTGTCAGAAACTTTTCACGCGCGCGCAGACAGACTCCGCGAGCGAGTGAGGCTGACACTCCCGCGAGCGAGCAAGAGGGCTGTCTCTGCTCGCGGGGTTTAATCTGCGCGCGAGGCTCATTTCATGCGCGTGTAAAAGCACATTTTCCGCTCGTGAGTAGCTTGTTTTGTGCGCTAGAATATTGACCCAAATCTGACTCCATAGTCTACACCAGTTTTCTCCTATTTGGAAGATCACCTTGAACATTTACTGGCAGAAGCCTCCGTTTTGGACTTAGGGCAGCTTTTATGTTGGTATTGATTAGCGACGCTATCTCTTATTGATCTCCCTGCTGCACTACTACGTTTGATGGATTGATTGGCAGCCTGTAGCTAGAGACCAATTTGTCAAGGAGCTTTGGACCTTGTCAGCAAAGAGCACCATTATGTCCCAATCATGGATGGCCAACAATCCCAGGGGTGTGTAGGGGTCTAGAGTGTGTGGGTAGAGGGTATATCCTGGTGGTGACTATTCACGGTTGGCTTGTGAGCCCTGAGTATCTGCAAGCCTTTGTCTCAAATCCCCCGTGAGTTACAGAAGCGCTGATTACAGCCCACCTTAGAACGGAGATCATAGGAGGCTTCATGAAGTTGCCTTTCATTATGCTCATTATGGGTTATGCTGTTGACATTCAAATAAACATGTTTGCATATGTTTCTTTTTCTTTTTTTTTCTGATTGTAGCACTAGAGTTCCATCCTCCAAATGGCTGGGATTCAGCTGCTGCACATGGTGATTTGCGCCCCCAGTAATTATACCTTCCTCGTGCTAGGAGAGAGACAGAGTAGGGAAAAAAAAAAAAACCTGTTGTTATTCTTAAATCCCCACTGGATGCTGGCTTAATCATTGTCTGCCTTGTCTTTGGAATGGCTGTAATTGAAACATTAGCTGTTAGGGTCTATATACAGCATGTGGGCGGATCGCGTGCACCTTGTGGATGGATTTTCATCATCAGCCCCAGCAACGTGTGTATACTTCACTTCCTCCTGCGTAGATGCATCACTTACAAGTGTATTTACGGCAATTTGTGCAACTGACAATACCCAACGACAAAAACCCAGTCGTATTCACATGCAGGCTCCGTGTTGACTTGATACCTGCTATGTCTTTAGTGCTTTTCAGCTCCAGTCCCAGGCCAAGAAACAAGCAAACCAAAAGGAAGCATTGCTCAAATGTATTGACCACTTTCATGAATTTTTCATTGGCTGCTGAAGGCGATGGGTTGCCAGCTGGCTGGGTTGAGAAGATGAGGCGCCCATTCGATGCCGCTGACCACACACAACCCTCCCTGTGGGCTATTGCACATTTTAAAGGTTTATCTCCTTGAACCTTTTAAACACCTGAGTGATACTGTACTTTAGAGGCCCTCGCCACAACTCTATCGCCGCTATGACTCACCTAACGTTAGACCCCGGGCCGAAAGCTGCTTCTGACTGGTGTTGTCCTTGGCAACAACTTGAGAGCCACAGCTTCTACTCTCTCTCTCTCTCTCTCTCTCTCTCTCTCTCTCTCTCTCTCTCTCTCTCTCTCTCTCTGTGCTGTCTATTTTTCAGTCTCAATCTCTTCTGCCATTCAATCTTGCGTGGAAACCTCAGAGCGCGTTTAAGGAAACATGTTGATCTCGCACATATTTCTCTCCACAAGCAGGGGACTCCAGCGCTGCCAATGTTTGTCTCCAGAGACAACACACCTCTCAAAGCCAAATCCCACCAACCCTCAAACCGCAACACCCTCGCCTTCCACTCAAATCCAACAACACCACCCTCACTCACTGTCAAATGGGGGGTCGATATAAAGACCTTTTGGTCACCAAATGAGATGCCATCTCACTCAACTGCTGTAATCTCGCCGCCCCCAGTGGGGTTTTGATGGCATATGAAAGCACAACTACTAAAGGAATGAGTGTCCCCAACATGGCCCCAGATAGTTAAAGGAGCCATTTTGCCTTTTCGGATTTACCCTTTCCTGTAGTGTGTTATATGGTTTTTTGTTAAAATCCCAAAGTTCATGCCAGAAGGAGTTTCTCTCTCCCCCCCAATGTGGAGTAATGACTACATTACACTTGCGCTTCTATTGGCTAGCACTCCAACACATTGTATGTGATAGGCTACCTGTTATCTATTACTAGCTGACCAATCATAACAGTGCTAGCCAGCTGACCAATCAGAGCAGACAGGGCTCTGGTTTCATACAGAGGGTGAAAAGGGGTTCTGCAGCAGTATGAGAAAAATAAAGAGCTTTATGAATATTTAAGCATGTAAACATGTCACAGTAAAAGCAAAAAACACAATTATGAGCCTAATAGGGCCTTTTTAATAAATGAAACACTTTATCAAGAGTTAATTTGTGAAATTGAGGCGCTTTCTCTTATATAAGTGAACAATGAGTTTTCAAGACCAACATGTTAAGTCTCAGGGGCTTTTACTAACCAAGCATCTCAGCTTTTTCCCGTGTATCTACAGGTATGCACATTATAGCTTTGTGTCAGTGCAAAAGTTTTCTGTCCACCGGAGAAGCCAATGGGACTTTTTCTAGACATACCATTGCATCACAGAAAAATGCGCAAAGCTGATGAAATTCAACAAAAAAAATGCAATACTTCAAATCCACCTTATTATCATACAAGGTTCTTTTTTTCAAGGCTGGGACCTTTTAATTATTTGTGAAGCAAACAAATATTTGTATTTAATGTTTATTTTTGAAGTACATTTTTAGTTTTGTTAGAATGATGTTGTTTTTGTGAGCATGGTTGACCCTAACACAAAGCAGGGACACTAACATTTATTTAGTTTGAGTGCTCACCCCCCCTCTTTCTCTGTTTCTGTCTTTGCAGGGTCTACAGGAGGTCTGGCTCAACTACCCAGCACACCCCCTGCAGGTTGGTTGTGAAATGTTTTATTGAAGATGTTTATTTTGGACTATGTGCCTCCCATTAAAACTCGCCTCACCCCTAAGACACAAATATTCTCATTTGAAGTTTTCTTCCTGTGTGTGTGTGTGTGTGTGTGTGTGTGTGTGTGTGTGTGTGTGTGTGTGTGTGTGTGTGTGTGTGTGTGTGTGTCTGACAGAGGTGGGCAAGCTGTTAGCTATTCTGCCTGAAGCTGACTAAGTTCTTTATACCTGTCAAAAGGCCCCCAGCAGCCTTCCACTCATCTTCATTGTTCTGCTCCTGCGTCTCGCTGCTTTCCATTTTGGTATAGACCCTAATATACTTTTTCATTTACACTGTCCCTCTTCCTCCTCTCCATTCCTCCTCACATATTTCTCCTGCTCTCCATCCTCATGATTCTTTCTCTTCCCTCTCTCCCTCGCTCTGCTGTTTTTTTTTTTTTTTTTTTTGCTCTGCCTGATCTGCCCAGAAACATTGAACATGTCAACAGTGTTTGTTTGAAATTAGGATTTGGAAGAAGAGATCAAAGATGCCATAACAGGATTACAGTCCCGAATCACACGAGGCCTCCAGGGACCGCCAGCCTCTCTGATGTGTCTGTGTGGAGAAAGTGTTTCTTTGTGTGGATGCCGACACTCGTCTTTAAGCAGTTCATTCTCTTCATCTCCCTGCGTGTGCACGAGTGTTGCTGCGTCTTCATATGTATATTTTTGCATATCCATGTTTGGCCCTAAAATAGCATTGTTTGCTTCTGTTTAGGTACATTTGCGTATGTTTGATTTTCCCCTCGTCTTTCCCTCATCACCTCGCTTTTCTTTTTATCCCCAAATGCTGAGGACCCAGAGTGCTTGGATGTTTTATGTTCAGCTCTTGAGGCTCAGAATAGCTCATTGTATTCAGCAGCTTGTGTTCCTGGTGAGAAGCGCAGCAGGGGCCCAAGCAGCGGGCACCGTGGTCAGGGTGGAGTCCCGGGGTCAGCCCCCCTAGCCCTCTGTGGTGCGGGGAGAACCTCCACAGTGTGCTGCATGAGTTAGCCGCTCCTGATCCGCGGCCTCATTACCACACACTGTGTATGTGTGTGAGGTTTCCTGAGGGTGGTCCCCTGCCAGCGGGGTAACGCCTGTTAAATTGTGCCAACCTCTTGCTAGCTTGATAGCATCCTGACCTTTTGCCTTGAGATGATCTCATCAAAGCAGTTTCACACAAGGAAAAAAAAAGCTTTCCCTTTCGTTATTTATGTATTTCATTATTTATTCTATAACTGATGAGAGCCCCCCAGGAGCTTACGCTGGAACATTATGCCCACAAAGTTGTTGCTGAGAATTAACAAGGTGTCGTCCCTCCTCCCTGCCCACCAGCATGATAGAACAGAGGTGACAGAGAGAGCCGTCTTAATGAGGTTTGAGTGGATGGCAATGGCAGCTCGCCATGGCGTGGGTAATTATGCGTACAACCGTCTTTGGCATACACGCATACATTAGCCATGCCACGCCGTGCCTTGCAGAGCGCGGTGGAATGCTACGTGGTTGACAGGCAAATCTTTATGTCTTTCGTGTTCGCTCGATCCGCACCAGCGCATCATCAACCCCAGCCCTCCAGAACAATTTACCCAAACGTCATTTACGTTTTGAGTCTAGGTTTCAAATTCTTTCTTTGGTTTTTATTGGGAGGAATCACGAGTGTCAGGATGTTAGGGCCTCAAAAGACCTCGGCTCTGATTCTGCTTTCTGTCTGGACTGAGCTGAAAGTGATGCTTTGAAGCCATTTCAAAAGATTTTTATTTTTTTCGCAACTGCTGTTGATTTTTTTTCTTCCCTCCTCTCTCCACTTCGTTTGAAGCCTTGCTGCCGGCCTTTCCCCCTGAAGGATAGCTTGTGCCTGTAAGAGCTGAACTCGTCAGATGCCTTTTAGTTGCGATGTATGACATTTAAACGCCTTTCGTTAATTAACAGAGGGGAAAAAAGGCAAGAAATGTTTCGTAGGACACATTGGAGGATGGAACCATGACATTACAGGCAGTCCAATTAAAATACAGAGTTTAAAGCAACATCTCTGCTCTATGCACTAGCTTGACATTGGAGACTCTGAGAAAGCTGTTTACAATCCATTATGAATACACAGACAAAAGGAGAGGCTAGATAATAAAGAAAGTAGTCATCTTCCCCGGGAGAGCATTGAATGGAGCTCTATTTATTATTATTATTTTTAGCTGGCTTTATATACAAGAGCACACTTACAAAGTCTATTGAATGTGCTTCAGTTTCCTTTAGATGTCCCCACACATTCATATGGCTCTGTGTTTCTGTTTGGTTGGGAAAAGATGTCTTGGTCAAGCCTACAGTTGTTCCACGCATAGACCAATTAGATGTTTCTCGCAGTCTAATTAATGCACCCAAAAGGAAATATCTTTATTCAACAAACACGCATGCACATATTTTCCAAGCTTATCATTTATTTTCCTAATGAGCACAGACATGAGCAAATACCGTAGTCAAAGCTGTGGCGTGTTTTGCTGAGGCATTTCTACATCTGAACTCACCAAGCCCTAAAGCTGAATTTAATAATAGTCTACAGCAATTTCACATCCAAAAGCTATTCTTTCAAAACATATCGAAGTCACGAGGCCGGCAGTCTCTGATATAGCCTGCTTCAGATCAAACAAGACTTACATTTGCACTGAGTCACCAGAGATATTAATTGACTGTTTGAATCACCAGATTTTCCGAGAGCGAGAGAAAGGCGAGCTGTTTGACTTAAAACTTAATGACTAAGAGATTCCATCTGCTGCACATCATCAAGTTTGTTTAGAGGCAGAGTAAAAACACACACTCTAAACCAGGCCCTCAAGCAGCACACACTGTAGAGGTTCGTTTCATTTAAGGCATTTATTTGACGCTCTTATGCGGAGCGACTTCATTGAGCAAATACGATTTTGTCTGGTTAAAAGATCCTTAGTAATGCTGCCGTAGACTGGAAACGTAATGGGAATGCATAAACAGAAACAATACATTCTGTAGAGTGACATACAGTCGTTTATATTTATTTAAATGTACTTTTCCAAATACTTTATGATGTAATAGCCAGAATTGGACAGAATATTGTAAAATAATGCATTCAAAAAATATAGGAATATTCACGGATCTTTTTACACCTGCCTTTATAAACTCAATGTCTGGATAAGACGCTTTGAATTGTTTACACATGTACACGGAGATTACTGCTGGGCAAAAAGCTCAATACTGTACCACAATAATGTTCATTTCATATCTGGATAAACATCACTATATAACGTGTCGTCTGGTAATTCAATGAATGAAGAAAACTTGTTGGCTTTCCAGAGGAGTATTGTGATTTTTTTTTTTTTAAAGGAAGTGTTTTATCACAAGAATTGCCTTTTTTTAAATGTTATGCCTTAACATTAACTTCAATTGAATTAAAGGTGGGGTAGGTAATTTTGGAAAAACCAGCTCGAGTGCGCTAGAATTTGAAAATACACAACCGGAACAAATCTGCCACATCCTTCCAGAGCCCCTCCCCCTAACACACACAAACGCGCACATGACCAATGAGGGCACGAGATAAGTTTGTGCACAGATGGAAGGCTGACACAGATGACATCTTTTTATGTATTTATTGTCAAAGCATTTAATATATTCATTGCTATCGGGATGATAAGAGCATTCCATGGAATATAACAAAATTTGTTTCTGAAATAAATGACATACCCCCACCTCTAAACAATGAAGTAGACACATGTATTCTTTATCTAAAAAGATACCCTTGTTAGCCCACATGTTTATAACCAAAACCCCCTTTTTCCCTGTTCGTCCAGGTCCAGGAGCCTCTCACAGACAGGCAGCTGATAGAGACGTCTCCCGTCCTTCAGAAACTGACGAACTTCGAGGACTGTATTGGCATTTTGTTCACACATGTGCGTCTACTGGCCAGAGCCTTCACCTTGAGGACTGTGGGCTTCAACCACCTCACCCTGTAAGTACGGCCAGTGTTTGTTTGTTTATAATGGAGTTACAGCCAATTAAAATGCAAAGCGAGGCACTAGATGGCCAGATGTAATTTGCAAGCAGTTCCCTCTAGAGGTGATGAGGCATGATGCATTATAATATATAATATGATCTGAGAAGCTGGGAGTTTCAGCATACGTCGAGCATTTTAAATCTTTTTATCTGTTGTGAATGTGGCAGCCTCCACCCTCCCACATCATCGTTATGTTCACCCCCCTGCAGCTTCTACATTTTCCTGCAGTTACTAAAACTGCCTGTATAACAAATGATGTCCTGAATGTCACGTTCAAAGGACCGTTGTGAAAGATAGCCCTTGTTCACTGAGTTTTAGCCCCGCCCCTAATCCAAGGGGTCTCACAGCCGAGAGAGAGAGAGGCCCAAGGGACTCTGAAGTCGCCATATCTGTAGTCTGCCTCTATCTGTGAGGCCATAACCTCGGTGCCTCATGGGAAATGGGGTTTTGATTCGCTGGGTTGTCCAGGGCAGAAGGTTTAAAATGTCTCTTTTATTCATTCATTGCAGCCACATATTTTATTTGACAGGTTTCTTCTCTCTTTCATGCTTCAGTCCACCTTTTTGAATTCCTGGATTCAAAAACTTGGATTTGTTTTGAATCCAGATTTGATTTAAATATATTAGAAATACAACACTGCAGTAATGCTGCTTGGCTTTTTGCTTGTTTTTCTCTGTTAATTGCGACGTTTCAAAGTGATGCTTTGGTGAGTCAGCGCTGGAATGTTTTTTCCTCTCACCCTTCGGCTATGACATTTGTTCAATAGCCAGTAGAGCTACAAACTTCTGCATTCACGTCTTCAAAAATGATTGGACGTGTTGGCGGCCTGTTTGTAAAAAAAAAAAAATAACAACTTCAAAGTCATTCATTGATAGAAAAAGATTGCTGTTTTTATAAAAAGAAGAAAAAAATCACTAATGAGTCTTTTCACTTCTATTGAAGGTGTTTCTGATTCTGAGTATAAGAGAGTGTTTGCCGTGAGAGCTTAACTTACTTCAGAGCTTTACCACACAACACCGTAATGAGTTTGACAGCTACAACAAATTAGCCTTGGCAGCACCTCTGATTCCTATTGGCAGGCTGCTCTCTGTAATTGCTTTCTTAGGCTTGCCACAAGGACATTGCTCCATGTGTGTTCGTGTGTATCATGTACACATGTACACATACAGTACACTACTGTGTATGTTCTAATCCATCAATTGAATGTCAGAGCTCTCGCCACTCATGGCCAATGAAGTCGATTACAGGTCCAGAGGCTCGTCTCACACTGAGCTTTAAAGGACTTTCCAACTCGAGGTTGATACCAATGGTACTTCCTAACATCGCATCCGAAAGTGGCTTAATTTAACGTGGGCATTTTACTGTAATATCATTGTTTTGTTACTACTTCCTGCAGCAAAAAGTCATAATTCATAGACGTTCAGGGTTATTTATGCTCATTATCTGGTGAGTGGCCAGAGGCAGGTTGACCTAAATATAGCCGACTCACTCGAAAGCTGCAACTGAGCAACAGCTCACCTTAAGGACCAAAGGTTAAACCAAAGTGGGTCGCGCTGCCGTCACGGAAAGAAGAGCGAGGTCAGATATGGGAAATGAAGGTCACGCGCTAAGGTAGGCAGCAGATGAGGAGAGAGGACCCAGGATGGCCTTCATTCAGCCTATCACTTTATGCAGAAATAGAGGACAGAGTGACCGAGAGGAAGGCAGGGCAAGAAGCAAGGAAGAGAGTTGACCCTGTTTAGAGGCGGCGGAGGCCAGGGGCTACTATCAGACAACAGAGATGGAGAGCTGCGGCCCCCGGGCGCTCGGCTTCCTATCTCCTCTCTCAGGAAGAGCTGGCTGTTGCAAGAATTTCACTGATGGTGAAAAAAGGATCCATCTCTCTTCAAGTTCTGTACATGAAAGAGGATTTAGCTGGGCATCTTTGAGAGTAGATTTTTGAAACATTTATACACGTATTTATATTTTACTAAACCGATTCAGATTCATAACATTTAAAGTAGAAGTAATCAAAAAAAACATGACAAATACATTAAGAGACAACAATACTGTCAGCACACTGCCTCAGGGGCTTTCCCTCCCTCCCAGTTTAATGTTTAGAACAATAAAGCATGTAAACAGGTCTCAGTAGCACACAATACAAATATAAACCTGCAAGTTAACAGATGTCCTCTTTAAATATTAAAGACTGCCATTCAATTTCAATATTGCACTTATAGTATTTATACAAGACATAATAAACATTCAAGTCACAATTTGCACAAAAATCTCGACGTTAACATCATGTATTAAAAAAAGCATAGTGTTACACACAAGGCAACACAAAGGCAACACAAATGAAAATGTATTATTATTATATAGTGAAAAAAACCAAGTTAACCTTAAAAGCTTTATCTGAAATGTCACACTGTGCTTTGCTAATACATTGCACTTAAGGGAGCTACACTGTGCAGACCTTTTATTTATGTTTTCATTAAATATTAGATAGTCTATTAAATAGCTAGTCTATAAAGATTTGACATCGTTCATACTGTAAAGCCAAGGCAATATTTGTCCTCTGCAGCGAAACACTTCAATATTCCTCCGCTCAGTGCAATGTTGCTAAAAGAGACCCTGAGATTTCATTATAGTCAAGTACCATTTTGAATATATATAGATCTTTTTATGCAGTGAAATATAAAAATCACACTGAATGTTGGTGCCTCGCTCAGTAACACATCGTTCGTAGTAGATACGGATTACACGTTTGACCCTCGCACAAGCGTGCTCGTCTTAAACAAGAACATTTTATCCCGTAGCACTGAGAGGGAAAAATGGCCCTGAAAGATGGAGTGCTCCCCTCTTTTGGAGCGGGCAGCGTGTCGCCGCCTCCTCAGAGGGGCTGTTAAAGGTATTTTAGATCAAAGTCAAAGGCGAATAAAGACCTCGGCTCCACACTTTGCTTCAATTTCCCCCACCTTACCGGAGCATTGTGTCTCTGCTGTTGAAGTGAATAAGGAATGGCTCTTTGCGACGCTTCACACAGAAACGCATTCTCCTCTCTCACTGCCACCTCCTCTATTCCCTTTCTGCCTCTGCCTCCTATTGGACGTGGAGTTAGCTCACATTCCACTTCCTCTATCTGTTTCCCCTCAGCTCTCTGGCGTCCCAGCTCACATACAGTATGCATGATATATGGATCTAGAGAAAGTCCACGTGTCCATGTACAGTACAGACGGATTAACACGGAGTTCTCCCCCCCCCCAGAGCCTTTTCATTAGGCAGCTCTGTGATTATTTTTAATGTGGGAGTCCCTTCCCTCCTAATGAAGCTGGACCTTTAAAGAGGACTGAAGTAAAAAGTAGCTTTTCAAGTCCTCATGGATCCTGTGTGCATTAACTGCTCCGCCGTGTCACACCTCTGGCATCTATCAGAAATCTTTCCTGTTTGTTATATACGTTCGAATGTTCAAGTGGCGTTCGCAGAGCTGGACGATAAGTGGACTGATCAAATGACATGAATTCTAAGCCATTTTGATATATGATTAATCATTAAAGTAATTGTTCATGAACAACCATTAGAACATGGCTCTTAAATATGGAGATGTCCTGATTAGTTTTTTTAACATCACATTTGATATGGTTATTTTAAGTTTTTTTTTAAAAGACATTTATAGAAATAATCTTGGATTTAAATGAACTGGGGTTGATATTTTTCAATCATTTCAGTCATTTCCAGACCAAGCACTCTGTAAGATACTCTTCAGATCAATAAATAATACAAACATTTCTTTGTTGCAGCTCTGGGAAACAAAACAATGCCAATTAAGATTAAAACATTTTGCCCTAATTCAATAAATGTAATTAACTTAACGACGAATTGACAAAAGGTAAACCACAAATGAATCCAAAGGAAAAAGCAATTGAGCAATACCCTAGATTTGAATGTTAGTTAGCAGAAACGTTTCAGCACATTTCCAAAAGTGCTGCTGTTGTGGTTCAAGTGACGGGAATGTGTTCGGTTCGACCTCCTCTTCTGCACACTTATACAACAACGTGGGTGAGAGAAGTGATTATAGAAGCAAGCAGTCCTCCTCAGAAAATCACTCTGCTTCTTCACAAACTCCAAGATTTATCAGAGCTCAAATAATTAATTGATGAATTAATAAATCCCCACGAATTAGAACATCCTCTGGTTTCAAGCGTATCAAATGTGAGTCTCTGTGTTTTTTTTGGAACGCCTTCGGACTGTTGCACGGACAAAATAAGCAATTTGGAGATTGTGATTCGCTTTTGTTTTAAATCTGTTATACACTAAACATTTACTCAGCCTAAAAAGCTATCAATGTATTCAATAATAAGTGATATAAGTTGCAGTGCTTTTAAAGAGGCCCTAAGTGCTATTTCAGCTCTCATCTCTTTGGCTCAGATAAAAGGAATCGGACAATGCACTTTGACCTTTCTTCCTCTTTGATGTCTTCCTCCTTGTCTTCTACCTCTGCTTGCCTCTCTCTCATCTTCACACTCTCCCCCTCCTGCAAGCAGCTCAAATCTCTAGATGGATATGTGGGCTGCTGCTGCTGCTGTATATACCTCCCTGCTTGTACTCCCGCCCCCCCCCCCACACTAAACTCTTCCTGCCTGGCACAGCAGCAGCCCACATCTGCAATGCTAATCTATAATTCTGTTTAATTAATGACCTGCCTTTCCACTGATGGGAGAAAGGCGGAAAGCTGATGTACAGTATCAGTGTTGCCATTAGCTTCTTTTTTTTTCCCGAATTGTTGGAAGTCAAATCTGTGTGCACGCTCGCAGGCTTTTTAACAGGGTTTTAGGATTTTGACAGGCAGCTGTACCAGAGGTTTTTAAGCATGTCTTTTTCCCTTTCCCCCTCGAGTTTTCTCTTTTTTCCATTTGAATTGCAATCAAAGCCCGACGTTTTTCTTCAGAAGGGTTTTGCTACTCCAGGCAAGCCTCCGAGTTGTCACACAGCTTGTCAGTGCAGCTGTTCCCAGAGGCCGGCCATGAAACGTACATCAGCCCGACTTCACTGTAAAAGGACTAAAAGCCTGGTAGATTTGTCGAGAAAGCATGATGCCTCTAATGCCCCACTTCCACGTACCCTCCCACCTCCCCCCCCCCATATCCTTTTATAACCTTGTATTCTCATATATCCTTTCCTCTATCTTTTCTCTAATCCAGGGGCCACAACCAGAGGATGGAGTTCCTTGGAGACTCCATCATGCAGCTGGTGGCCACAGAGTATCTCTTCATCCACTTCCCTGACCACCACGAAGGACATTTAACAGTAAGATCAAATCAATGAAATATGTAATCACACACAGGCTCCTCTCCCTTTGTATATCTGTACATCCTTGCACCTGTGTGTTGTCTATTCTCCATCTTGTGAAGTCGAACACAAACGCTGCTTCTTACACCGGTTCACCTTCAATGAAGTTGCAGCTGTGCTTTTGTGTGTTTGTGTGTGGGAGAGTTTTTCCTCCTTTCCCATCCATCTTTAAATCTCCCAGTGCCAGGCAGGTATTCACCCCCCATCATTTTTTTTGCTTGTTTCCACAAAATAACTCTCTTCCACTCCCTCACCCCACACTGCGCCTGTATGTTCACTGTGCTCCTCCTTGTGATGGGTATTGTCATGAGACAAAATTGTTCAGTGGTTTTCAATAACACGTCTTTGTCTGCCGAGTTTTCGCACAAGCTGTCAAGCGTCGGATGAAAATGAAGTTGCGCGTGTGCGTGCGAGAAGTTGCGCGTCTTGTGGCGCCGGTACAAAGCGAATTATCACACTTTGAACATGCAAGTCCATTTTCTGACAGGCGGCATTACATCTTCCCTCTTTTTCATTTTCACATCAGCACTTCCTCTTTAGAAAGGCCCACTACTCCAGGCTACAAGGATTGAACTGCGCTAAACCTGAATAACAACCTTTGCCGTCATTTGTTTAAAAGCTTCCTTTGAGCTTTTCGCGGAGAGACTGAAAGCTCCTGCAATGCCCAAGAGTCAAGATGGGGGTACATCTGAAATGGATTTCAAATCGGGGAGAAAAGTGCTCATTCAACGTGTGTGTGTGTGTGTGTGTGTGTGTGTGTGTGTGTGTGTGTGTGTGTGTGTGCGTGTGTGTGTGTGTACTCCTTCACAGCAGGACCCATTCAGACAGTCATATTATATTCTATTTGCTCTTTTCTGCATCTTGTGGCTATATTTAACATGTTTGTGTTTTTCCTTTTAGAGTGTTCCTTACCCAGTCCAACATGTTGTCATCCGTTAAGCTCCAAGTCCCAATGTAATATTTATCAGAGCAACGTCCAACTTCCCTGAAACATTTACTCTGCATTAGCGCTTCTGTCTCTGATGAATTATTCCTTGTTGTTTGATCTATTTTCATGTTTTTTTTGTGGATATTTCCCTTCAAACATATGTAGTCTTCAAATCAAATCAAATCAAGTTTTATTTATACAGCACATTTTTAAAACGATGTTTGGTCGAGCCAAAGTGCTGTACATGCAATACAAACACTTAACTACAATAGCAAACAGGCTTATATATATATAAAGGGGCATTTAAAGAGCTGGACGATAAATAGACTTGCATGTTAAAGGTGTTATAGGTTTTGGTTCATGTTAATGTTCTGCACTTTGAAGTTTCTGTGGAATTACAATAGTTTTTTTAATCCTCATTTAGATTCTACGAATGTTAATGATGTTTTGTTTGTCCGTAGCTTCTCCGCAGTTCGCTGGTAAACAACCGCACGCAGGCCAAAGTGGCGGAGGAGTTGGGCATGCAGGATTTCGCCATCACCAACGACAAGACCAAACGCCCCGTGGCTCTGCGGACGAAGACTCTGGCTGACCTGTTGGAGTGTATGTTCACAACCCTTTGATTCATTCGCATAGAGAACATCTTTATAGATCTGCCTAAACCCCTACTCAACCTTTTCCCTTGCATGTCTCTCCAGCATGTGCGCTTTAAGACGGCAGCATCAAGTGCCATTATTGATTTCTTTGTTCCCTTTGTGCAAGATGTCAAGCACAGTCATTTCTCTGCTGAAGATGCTCCCTATGTGCGTAGTATGACTGGAGCGGTTAGTGATGATTTGTCTTTCTCTTTCTCCACCAGCTGCCACAATTCATAATTTACTGCTACCTCTAATAGATTTTTGGAGCAGAATAAGAAGTAAAATCAAATATGTCTTGTTAAAGAAGTGGATGGTGAAGGACATGTTGGCAGCTGAATGGAAAATGATCATGGTGGTCTAGTGGTTGTTTTATCCACTCTAATTTAGTAGATTTGCTTTCATGGTATAACAGAAAGCAAAGTGGGCATTTGGCTGGAAGGTAGAGAGCCTCACGACTAAAGCATTGAACACAATTCAACCTGAAAACACAGTTCATATATGTAAGTAGAAGCTGTGCTGCAGCCTCCCTCCTTTTACACATTTCTATAGAACTGAATTTAAAAAGGAAAAAGTGTGCTCCAGGGCAGGAGCAGTGAGTAGGCAGAACTTATATTTCAAATCCATTTTAATATGTTATACATTTTAATGAGAAGAAGTATTATTCTGACTGTTTCGCATATTTGACTTTCTACTCTTTATTACATACATGTTTAAACTGTATGTGGTCCCAGCTGTGCGTAGGCTTTTTCCTACATGGTGAGATTAAAGGTAGAAAGTCACTGTTTATTCAAATAACTGGTTACAATAGCATTATAATATAGTGGAGTCTGGCTAATGGGTTGCGTGAGATAAAGGGACAGAGCGGGGTTTATTTGAATTTAAATAATTCATCTAAAGAAATGCCTTAATTCATAATAATGTCTTAAAACATTCATTCAAAAAATACGAAAATGCTTAGCCATTGGAAATTAGATTTGTATTTTGAAAGCACTGCATTGTACAATTATTGTCATATTTGAATTGTTAATATTTTTTTTAAATAATCGACTTTATGCTCGTCACATTATTGTCATGCAGATTACAGATTAATTCTGTGTGAACGTGTAAAATATTCTTTAAAAATCTTAAAATAATACACCCTACCCCAGAGTCCTGCATCGGGTCGACGGGTGACCCGCAAAAAAGGTGATTCGCGGGTGGTATTTTTTCAAACACTTTTTTCCGGGTTCGGTTCTGGGTAAAACAAAGATGATGCGGGTCGGGTCGCGGGTGTTGCATAATAAATATATTAAATAATAATAATTTTGTTTAATGTTTGAATCCTCAGACCTCTCCCCCGCGGGACCGTGCATAATCATAACCTCTGCAGCGCATCAATCTGCTTCTGAGCGCGCCACATTCTGAATGGCTGAGGTGAAGCTCTCCATAGCGGAGAATACAGCATTTTCCAACACTTCCTCAAGAGCGAAATCCAACGTCTGGGAGGCTTTTGGTGTCCTCCTAGATGGAGAGAATAACCAACATCCCACGCTTTTTGAGAGAAATATGCAACTGCGTGTGTTAATAATTGAACGTTTTCACTGCTCATATATATATGCGGGTTCGGGTCGGGTTGCGGATCCTGTGCCGACGGGTCGGGTCGGGTTGCGGAACTAATTGGTAATA